TCAAAGCAATCCTGATCGTTCTCGAACACTAACGCGCTGGTCCGGCTGGTCGGTTCTAGCCGATTCTAGCTTGATGGCGTCAGCGGCAGATCGCTCACCGCAACGTTGTCGCTGTTTATGTTTAATATTATGACAATTAGATTTTTTTGTGGAATTTTCGGAAGCTTCTCTAATTTTTGCAGTTTGTATTTTTTAAATTAAAATCGTTGTGAGAGCTGCCGGTAGCTCGCGATCGACAGGTTGGCGACCACTGCCTTAGATCGTCAATAACTAGACTTGAACTTAATATTAGGTAAAAGGAAAACATTACTTTTGAATAAAATGGGTTTATAACAACAGTAAGTGCCCTATTTTGCTTCTATAGTGGCATATAGCAATAGAAGTAACTGTATAGTATTTTCTATAGTTTTATCATCAAAATTTAGACGTTACCAATACCAATACCAACGAAACAGAAATTTCCATTATCCATACAAAACGTACAATGTATTAGAAACAAAATACTTCAATTAGACAACCTAGTTAATAACATGACAAACGTGTATCGTGTATCGTTTTTATCAATTGTATATTAGAGTATAACAGTTTATTTTTGTTACAGCTCATTCTCATTTTTGCCGTTTGGATCAGCAACGTTACTTGTATGGCGCCCATTAGGTAAGAAACAAAATTTTCTCTTAATTAGTGACAAAATATTTCATTAAATGCCGCTAATTCCGGCAGATTGTTCGACTATTGTTATTGGTTAAAAAGAAATCATCAATATAAATATCATTAATATATGTAAGAAATGGCCACAAGTTAGAGCCTTGCAGAATACTAGAAGCGACATCGTTTATAATTATCGAATTAATTTGACTTTTATCTAGAAACTGTCTTAAAATTTTACTGGTTAAATTCGTTTTAATCACTTTCTTGTTGTTCTAAAAAAATTATCGATGATTTTGTATAAAATTTGTTTACAAATATTTTACAGATACATTAGTGAAACAAATAAAATCCACTATAACAGTAAATTTTTCCTTTTTTGAGAATTAATATAAAACAATACACGTCTTGTGTATTATTATTTATAATTCGAACTTGAACCTGACACTGACCGCTGAACGTTTGATTGCATAATTCTAATAAGTAAAATTATCTTTGAGACATGATTATTTATTATCGGTTGTTAAATTTAATTGTATTGAATATTAAAAGGATACGTTTCCAATAATAGGAATGCGAATAATTGGAGAAATGGTAATTATGTTTAGAAGGATTATTGTTTATTATTTATTTCCATACAATCATGCAATAAAAAAAAGACGTTATTTATGCTCCTAATACTTATTTAAATGATAAAATATTAAATACACACGTGTATAAAATCAATTTGTTTAGAAAGTTACCTCTATAATAATAATTGTAAAAATATAATTCGAATAAATCAAAAGTATGAAGATATAGTAGGACAACGCTCTAGTAAAAAGCGTTTGAGGTAATCTCTCGTGGCATCTACTGACGTTCTTATGAAGTAGACAATTTCTAATGCTATGCAGATCCTCTACATCTTTTTTTCGACCGGGCCTGTGGCTTATACTATGTAATTGCGCTCTACCCCTTACTAGTAATACTAGTAAAGTTAAAACTTTTAAAATGTATCTTTATTTATTTAAAAATAACTGATTCATGATATAAGACGTAACAAATTGAACAAATTTCAATTATCAAAACCGTATAAGGGTGATTCCACCAAAAGGAGACAATTCACAAGCTAAAAACGGCAGGACGCTTGTCATCTTAGAACAGTGGTCGCCAACCTGTCCATCGCGAGCTGCCGGTAGCTCGCGGAGGCAATTCTGGTAGCTCTCACAACGATTTTAATTTAAAAAATACAAACTGCAAAAATTAGAGAAGCTTCCGAAAATTCCACAAAAAAATCTAATTGTCATAATATTAAACATAAACAGCGGCAACGTTGCGGTGAGCGATCTGCCGCTGACGCCATCAAGCTAGAATCGGCTAGAACCGACCAGCCGGACCAGCGCGTTAGTGTTCGAGAACGATCAGGATTGCTTTGAAAGGGATAAATACACACGGCGCGGCGACATTGCGCTTAGTTTAAAACTGAACGCGTAACCAACGTCCAACGGTTGGGTTAGTAGAGAACAACAAAAAATAATATTATGGCAAGCAGTTGTAAGAAGGTAAAGACATACCACTTTCATTCGGAATGGGAAGAACAATACTTTTTTACAGAAGTTAAAGATAAAAATGTGTGTTTGTTATGTAATACTTTGGTCTCTGTTGCTAAAAAGTAAATATTGAGAGACATCATAAAACTGTACATTCTAATTTTGAAAAATCATTCCCACTACATTCTGCCGCCAGAAAGGAGAAACTGAAACAGTTAAAAAAGCAGTTAATTGGACAACAATCAATATTTTTAAGAACAGTCGACAAAAATAAGGCTGCAACTGAAGCATCGTACCGTGTGTCCCAGATAATTACACAAAAAAAGAAACCTTATGAAGACGGGGAAATGATAAAACAGGCGTTTTTAGAAGCTGCTGATTCGTTATTTGCCAACTTTAGAAATAAAGAAGAGATAGTTTCAGCTATAAAATCTATACAACTTTCTGCTAATACAGTGATGAGACGTGTAGAAGTAATGAGCAATGATATTTTTTTACAGTTAAGAACTGACTTAGATAACTGTGTTTATTTTTCACTTCAACTGGATTAATCAACAGATGTCGTTGACACTGCCCAGATGGCCGTGTTCGTCAGGATGGTTTTTAGTGATTTTACGATTAAAGAAGATCTTTTGAAGTTTATTCCACTGAAAGGACACACTACTGGACAGGAGCTGTTTTCTCATTTAAAAAATATTATTTCTTCCGAGAAAATTCCAATATCGAAAATGGTAGGCTTGACAACCGATGGCGCTCCAGTTATGGAGGGTTGTGATAAGGGTCTGGTGGCGTTATGTCGTAAAGATGAAACTTTTCCGCAATTTCTCTGTTACCACTGCATTATCCATCAGCAAGCATTATGTGGAAATTTCCTGAAACTAAACAACGTTATGAAACTGGTGAACAAGATTAGAGCTCAAGCGTTACAAAGAAGATTATTCAAAACCTTGGCTGATGAAGTTGACTGTCAATACGGGGACCTACTCCTTCACTCTGAAGTCCGATGGTTAAGTAGAGGACGGGTGCTGAAACGTTTTAATGATGTCCTATCTGGCATAGTTCAATTTTTCAAACAACGCGATGAACCGACTCCGGAACTAGAAAATTCAATCTGGCTTAGAGATTTTGGTTTTCTCGTGGACATTACAGAGAAATTAAACGAACTTAATTTGCAGCTTCAGGGGAGAGACAAAGAACTAGCGGAAATGATTTCTGATATAAAAGCATTTATCAAAAAGCTGGAGTTTTGGGAACAAAACCTAATTAACAGCGATGCTAAGCATTTTCCTATTCTTTCAGAAAAAATATCTCAAAATCCATTAGAACCCTGACAGCAAATATCATGTAGAAATAGTTTCTACCCTGAAGAATAACTTCAAAAATCGTTTTAAGGATTTCAACGAAATGGCTTTAGTAGCGCAGTTTGTTGTTTCACCCTTTATGGAAATTGATATCCAACAATTTGCTACTTGTGTTATGCAGAACTTTGGCGAAGACATCGCTGCAACAGAAATGGAAGTAATTGAGTTTCAAAAAGATTTAACCTTAAAATCGTTAGTCTCAAGTACCAAATGTATCTGGCCTATTGTAAGTAAAGACAAATATTCAGTTCTATGCCGTGTTGCCTTGAAAGTGAAAGCATTACTCAGTTCAACCTATTTGTGTGAATCTTCTTTTTCCAATATGAAGTTTATTAAGAACAAATATCGCAATTGACTTACGGATGAACATTTGGATAATTGTATTCGAATGGCTGTATCAAATTATACTGCAAACATTAAAAAAATTATCGATGAGTCTGAGTGTCAGCCTTCTCATTGAACGTGCTTTTTTATTTTTCAATGTTTATGTTCATGATAGTGCGTTACTTTTTTGTTGTTATTATTAACTATTTTTAAATCTTACGTGACATGCCGTTGTGGCTGGATAAAAGTTTGTGTTTATTTTTCAAATACCTTCGTTTGGTAGGTAGGAATGTAGCTATGAACAAGTACGTACTAATAATATTAGTTATTTTGTTATTAGTTTATTATTAGTACCTATGTATTATGTATTACCAGTTAAATAGTAAAATAAATACATATAGTGATAAATTAACTGTGGATTATTTCATTTACGTTGCGTTACGTGGCTTCCGTGTGGGTAGCTCGCTGTTTATTCCAAAATTAACAAAGTAGCCCAACACATTGAGAGGTTGACGACCACTGTCTTATATCAAGATGGAACAGGTGTCACTCCACGAATTTGGGTTAACATCTTTATAGACAAAGGGGTCATAACAATAGTATTAAAAGAATGATGGAGAACTTATTAAGAAAACAATCTCTACAAAAAAAAACAGAAGAAAACAAAAAAAAACAAAAAAAAAACAAAAAAAAACAAAAAAAAAACAAAAAAAAAACAAAAAAAAAAGCAAAAAACAAAAAGAAAAAGATAACTAAAAAAGAACACAAAATGTATTATCAGTATGGTTCAATTGAAAGGAATAAATTCATTATAATGGAAGTAATTGGTTTTTCGATTTTTTTACCAATATAGACATCAACTTCTTAAGAATATTAAATAGGAAATGTTGCGTGTGTGACACATCATAGATTTCAGCAATAAATAAACACAATAAATAATATGAAATCATCTGGATTATTTAAAAAATTGCATTTTGTGGAATATTTTGGATACATTGATATGATAAATTTTATTTATTATTTTTTTTAATAATCATGTCAGTGTCGTGTATCGATTTTATCTCCTTTAGCGAGATAAAATACTGTTATGTATTTTAAAGTATGATGACACTTTGTATAATAATGCGTGGATACTTACGTGGTGGGTTCGTCTAAAAATAAAACCGGTGGATTATTCAATAACTCCAATGCAACGGAAAGCCTTTTTCTTTCACCCCCTGATAGTCCATTCGTACTGGTATTTTTCGCTTTGTCCAGCCTTAGTAACTGTAGAATTTCGTCTATCTGAAATTGAAAATGTTTGTTACCTACTTTATTATGAGACTTATAGTGTTTTCGATTCCACTGCCTTGCCTGCGGGGAGTGCACATAAAAGATAAGCGATATATCGATACCGGTTACTTTTTAGAGTAAAAAGTAACTGGTATCGACATATCTTCCACCTTTCGTGTGCTCTCAGAGTAAGCCGAGCACTGGAATCGAAAACGTTAATATTTTTTTAATTGTTCCTTACAATGCTTACTTCGAGCAACCACTAAACATCAAGATATGTATAATAATTTATAATTTAATTTGTAACAATGATTTTGATACAATAAACAATATTTCAGTGGTTTAATTATTAATTTTGATGAGAATATTATACTTTATGTAATATCAATTGAATGTTTTGACGAAAATCTTATCGTCAATTTCTATAAGCGGTGTAAATGCACTACTCGATTTGTTCTATTGTACAGTAAATACGAGGCTTGATATTTATTTTGTTTACTTTTTTTTATTGTCACAGAAAAAACTTTGAACGAACCCTGTAAATTTCTGTTAAAAGTACATTTATTTTATTTATATTAGAACAAAAAGAAGTATAACTAAATTTTCATATTCTCATATAATAGAAAAGTTGTAGGTTAAAGTACAACAACAAATGTACGTTATTTGGGAAAATTAAATATTTGTAATTACATATATTATATACCATTATGTTGCATTGTTAAATAATACATATAAAAATAAAAAATTATCTAAATTTGATGCTAAATTATAGTTGTCGTAAATATATTTGTCATTAAACTTCGTGTACTTTTTTTAAATGGCTATATAAATCAATTAATTATTGTAATAATTAAATCGTTAGTACAGTAGCGCACTGTAATAACAATATTTTTATTGAAATATAATACGGTTTTTATATCTACGATATAGCAGCGTTTCTTAATCAGTTCAAAATCTAGAACTATAAATACAGCTGTATACTATAGTCTATTTTTATGTATGAGAGAGTAATAAAACAGCATTTCTAATGCAAAACTTAGTACGGTCATTTTAAATATTTTTACAGTATAATCTAAATATTTCCTAAAATTGTAATAAATGTACCTGAACTATTACAAGTTTTGGGTCTTTTATTGGTCCTTTATAAATATAAGCTGTACAGAACAATAGAAAAAGGTTTGGACAGGCCAAAAGCCCTGTGTATTAAATATTACATAGCCGTATCTTAAGATTATTTTCAATAAGTACCTATTTGGCAATTTTGTTTTTTTTTTAATTCCAAGAATTTCTTACAGTAATCGAATTATAAGAAGATAAATACCTTCCCAACAAATTTCACCGAAAATGCGATTATAGGTTTTCCATTTAGTGAGCAGGTCCAAATTGTGTATTCTTGACAGTTTACTAAATGTCGTTTAGTTGCAACTTGCAAGGTGCAGTGTGAATTCTAGTGTGATCATGGAAAATTTGGAAGGGCCGCGTAAACGACAAAAAATCGGTCCTTTAACAGTTAATGAAAAAACATTAATATTTAATTGTTATAAATCATTTACAGACAAACATTTATGTAAAAGTGTTGATAACACAGTGGAATTAGTTAGTAGTACGCTTGGTGTTGGGAAATCTACGATTTACAGAGTTGTTAAAGAAGAGAAATGTGGCGAGTTTCAAACAACACGTAAAGCTCCAGGAGGAAAACCAAAATTTCAATTAGAAAATCTTTTGAAAGAAAGATTTCGAAGGAAAGTGCATGCGTTCTTCTTTAGAAAAGAATTTCCGACAGTAGACAAAGTTCTTGCCGCGGTTCGAGATGATAAGGATTACCCTGAAATGAGTCGAAGCACACTATGGGAACTTTTAAAAGAAATAGGTTTTCTATGTAAAAAGCATTCCAAAAAGTCTATTTTAATAGAAAGAAGCGATATTGTAGTATGGAGAAGAAATTACCTAAAGACTATAAAAGAAATGAGAAACCAAAGAAGAAATATATATTATTTAGATGAAACATGGATCAACGAGGGACATAAACCAAATAAATTTTGGCAAGATGAAACTGTTACAAGTCGAAGACAGGCTTTTCTAAATAATTTATCTACTGGTTTAAATCCACCATCAGGAAAGGGGCGCAGACTAATAATAGTACACATCGGTAGTTCAAACGGTTTTGTTAAAGGTGGTTTATTGACTTTTGAATCTACTCGTACCGGTGACTACCATTAGGACATGAATTCTGATGTCTTTAAAGAGTGGTTCGAACAAATTATAGATCTTCTTCCTCACAACTGTATAATAGTAATGGATAATGCAAGTTATCACTCGAGACTTATAGAAAAAATGCCCACAACCAAGTGGTTAAAAAAAGATTTACAGAATTGACTAAATTCAAAGAATATTAAGTTCTATCCCGGTTCTGTGAGAAAAGAACTGTATCATTTGTGTTCCCTTCATAAAGAGAAATTCAAAAAATATGAAATTGATGAAATTGCAAAAAATCGTGGAATGATGGTGGTTAAATCACCACCATATCATTGCGAAGTAAACCCGATTAAACTGATATGGGCACAGATAAAGGGAGAAGATTCAAGAAAAAATAATTATTTTAAAATGAGTGATGTTAAACAGTTGTTTTTGGAGGCTGTAAATAATGTTAAACCTGAAAACTGGGAAAAGGCAGTAAATCATACGATTAAAGAAGAAGAGAAAATGTGGAAGTTGGACAATATTACTGATGAAATGATCGAGCCACTCATTGTAAATATTGGTTGCGACAGTTCATCTTCTGATTTCGATTCTGATTTGGATTTGTAGGTAAGAAGTAGTTTTTATATTAAAATTATTATTTATGAACGTAACGTTGTTTAAAAGTCAAAGTTTAAACCCTTATACCTACATAACCCGTTTGACACAATGTTCTTAACATACCTTGTGGAAAAATAAAACATTTTAGAAAAAATTGCACTTTTTTACCTTCAGCTGTTTAGAAGTTATAAGCAGGTTAATTAGGTGAAAATATAAGTGTATACTCGAGGAATAACTTTAAAAAATATTTTAACTGTCTACTAAAAGAAGTGGTACGCCTATGGATTACGAACGCTTTATTATTTTAATACTCTCTCATACATAAAAATAGACTATAGTAGAAATAAAAAGAATCAACAATTAAACAGAAACCCGCTTTTCATTGTCTAATTTGCATATGGATGAGCAATCTATATAACTATATAGCATTGGATCTTGCTCTTCTAGTACACTAGCGCCATTCTGGGCATTTTTTAAAACCTTATTTCCGGGTGTTGAGGTTAAAAAAACCATGTAAGATCGTCAGTCAAGAGTCTAAAAAGAATAAACACAATAAATAACATTTAATTTAATAAAAATAACTTTTTAAGTGTTTATTAAATAAACCGTTAATTTTTTATTACTATACCTTTGGGAAGAGCTTTTAATAAACAATAATATTGTATCAATAAAAATGATTGACAATGTAAACAAGGAAAAACAAGCTTAATATAAAAAACAGAGATACAATTAACTTACTCTTTGATAATTAATTTAACAACTAATATTCTGTAACCATTTTTTTTTTTCTTTTTTTACTGTATTGAATTTAACTATATTAAATTTATTGTTATTTTGATAATAGAAATACAGACCTATATTATCATTAAAAACCTGAATTTCCTAAACTTATCAATATGACTGAATAGTTAATTAGAAGACCTTTTAAATGATGTATCGCATGATATACATTTATTTTTAAAAATCGATCAAAATATAAGAGATTCCACTCATTTTAGGTTCAAAACATTACTAAAAATTGTTTAAAACAATTATATTTTATATAAATATTGTTGTAAGTCAATATTTCCGTATATTGAATTAAAATTATTATTTTAAACTTAATTTTACTCAAATGATTATCAAATAATATACAAAAAAGTATCAAATACAAAATTACATCATTTTTTACCATTTCGAGTGATCTCGTGACCACTCGGAAAAGTTTTATCAGTACAGCCAACTGAAAATGTAGGCAATACATATTACATTTAATTTAAATATTGAGCAACCACCATTAGGCAACACACATTACACTAATACACAATTATTGCTGCAAAGTGTCTTAAAATAAGAGTACAAAGTTTTAAAATCCATCAAAAACTAAAATTATATCACGGTCAGGAAATATGTTTATTTCAAAACCTTACAGGTAGCTACAAGATTGAATTGTTTGTTATTATTTGTTATTTAATTATGTAAACATGCAAATATTGTCTTTTTAAACCTAGACAAATCCTTTTAATTTATTCACTATGTAAATCCAGTCTAAGATGAAAATGTTCACTATTTTTTGTCAAATTTGAGTTAAATTTGATCAAAATTGTAATAAAATTTACCTTACTATAGTCTATTTTTATGTATGAGAGTATTAAAATAATAAAGCGTTCGTAATCCATAGGCGTATCACTTCTTTTAGTAGACAGTTAAAATATTTTTTGAAGTTATTCCTCGAGTATACACTTATATTTTCATCTAATTAACCTGCTTATAACTTCTAAACAGCTGAAGGTAAAAAAGTGCAATTTTTTCTAAAATGTTTTATTTTTCCACAAGGTATGTTAAGAACATTGTGTCAAACGGGTTATGTAGATATAAGGGTTTAAACTTTGACTTTTAAACAACGTTACGTTCATAAATAATAATTTTAATATAAAAACTACTTCTTACCTACAAATCCCAATCAGAAGATGAACTGTCGCAACCAATATTTGCAATGAGTGGCTCGATCATTTTATCAGTAATATTGTTCAACTTCCACATTTTCTCTTCTTCTTTAATCGTATGATTTACTGCCTTTTCCCAGTTTTCAGGCTTCACATTATTTACAGTCTCCAAAAACAACTGTTTAACATCACTCATTTTAAAAGAATTATTTTTTCTTGAAACTTCTCCCTTTATCTGTGCCCATATCAGTTCAATCGGGTTTACTTCGCAATGATATGGTGGTGATC